AACTTCGTTTCCCAGAAATATTATTTCCATACATACATTTTTTAAATTAAAAATTACTCAATTGCGAGTTTAATTGAAAGCGAGATGACGAAACTACATGGGTTCTTTGTGATTAGGTGAACAAGTAGCGTCCGGTTACGTCCTTTCCATGACTTCATATACGCACAAACACAATTTTTTAATGCTTTTCATGTTATTTGTATCAATTCTTACAATATCCAATATAGTGATATCAGAACAGACTAAATAACCCGAGAAAGCTAACAGTTAACATACTCTGAAGTTAAATTATTTTTGGTTGAGCTGACGCTCAACTTGTGTAGCGAGCGGAAAAATATATTTAGCGGTGCGAAGTGTTTATCGGCGATGATCAACTGTTTCAAAGACGGATATCTTTTACGTTTCACAGCTGCAACAGTGTAGCAGCTCTTGTCGTGGCTGCTCTTCGCTTTGTCGGACAGGCGCATCGCACCACACCCCGCGACACCGCATGGGCACGCCCGTCTACCCGACAAAGCGACTTTGTACCGGCGCCGCGTCGCCACGCGCTGCTCCGCCGGTCAGAAGGGCAAAGGTGCCGCTGACGACGCGCGTGGCTCGGGCGGCGAAGACAGCGGGGGCGGCGCGGGGTTGCGGTCACGCTATAGATACAACGTGCCACCGTCGCCACCAGTTCGTTTTCATCACGAGCCCCTCGCTATTATCGCTCTACCGCCGTCGTCGCTATTCTTCCGTTACCGACACCACCATCACCACTACAATTAACCTTCCATTCCGACATCGCCACCACCAACCCCACCATCCTGTCTCCCCTCTACCGTTGCAATGTTCCACAATCACCTCCGTTATCACTTTTATCGCCTAGCCACCGTGTCTATTCCACCAACCTTTACTGGGAGAGGGATAGTTACATCTTGAACTAGCATTTGCTTGCTTCGTCCTCCCACCCTGGTACTCTTCTTTAACCTCAACCGTGAGCTCCACCCCTATGGCATTGCCAGGCGAAGAGACAACGCATTGAAGTATATACTCTCCTTTGAGGTAGACCTTCATGTGAAGACCGACCGATCCGCCTCCGTCGCTATCGTTGGTGCCTGCGGGAGCAGCATCGTAGACGGGGAAGGAGTGGTACCGGGCGGGTGGCGAGACGACACGTCTCACCTCACGTCTTTCTGTGGACCCATGGCGGCAATACTATCGGCCAAAGCGATGGCGACCGGCCCGTTGTTTATATTTGCGAGCAGAGTGGCGTCCCACCATCCCCTCCCCCGCCTGCCCCTGTCTCCGCTCCTTTACATAAACGGGTCGCGCGTGTGAGGGCTGTCGCATGCCGACAGAGCGCGCGCGCGGCACCTCGCCGCTCGGTGCGGCCGCCAGAGTGCGGGCCGAGGCAGCAGCCTTGCCACGGCCACTTGTGGCGGGCTCTTCACATGTCACAGGTTCCAGAATCATTCTCTGAGGCAATGCTTGGGCTTTTCTCACCATCCGCGCCCTTTCCCAACTCTCTCCGACCTTTTCAAACGTTCGTTATCTATCGTTTATGAAGATCCGACGCCCCAAAATGGAAGCACTTAATATGAACATAAATATGATTGCTAGAATGGATAAAGTCCATTGTTCGTTCATGCATGGTTGTAATAAATAAACCTCGGCGTTTCCAAAATATATGGAAGTGGTTTTGCAAGTGAAACAACACAGGTGTGCAACTCAGGTGTTGAAAAAGAAAGAAAGCCGCACTTACCTTCTGAACTGAGTTTTCGCGGAGAGCATTTTGTCTTTCTTTTTTTTGACAGCCACTAGTATGAGCGGTTCTATATAAGAAAATATAGTGTTAAAAATTCAATTTGTAGCTCTAGAGCTAAAAGTTAGACGATGCTCAATGTACAAATAATACTGTGAATGCAATAAAGAAAACAAAATACTTCCGTCTGACCGCATCATTGACCACTAACCTTGTGTCGTTAAGTGATATGCAGACTTCAATGAAAAATGAAATGAAAATCAGAAACGCCGTCTAAGAAATAGCGTATTACACGCAGGACAATTGTTTTCATGTTGCTCGTAGGATTGCGCCACTCAGCCTATCGGCCTCGTGTCGCAACATTTCCTACTCGTAAAATAAGAGGTCCCTTTTACCTCTGGAATCATAAACAATCATTCCGCGCCTCTTTTCGCCTGGCCGTGCGTCGTGCGCGCGCTGCGCAAGGCCTAGCGTCGTGACTGACGTGAGTCGCGATAAATGTCACTGGTTCGCCCCTGTGTCGCGACAGTTCGGAGGCCAGCGGCTGATCGGGCTTCTGCGCGAAATTGTAGGTCAGCGAATGTTGGGGGAAAGGGGGAGGGGGCGGGCAGAACCGCATCTACAAATTTGGCAAGTGGACATAGTGCGGTTTTTCGTTGGAAGGGATCTAACGTTCTAGTTATTTACACGCCAGAATATCTGAAGGATATATCAATAAAGAGGCCGACCTAAAAATATACCAATTGTTCTTGGGCCCTAGTAGTTAATATTTTCGTTGTTATTCATTGATTGATCCAAGTATAATTCTAGGTGTGAAGTTAAAATTAATAACGTTAAAAATGCAATAAATCGCGTTTTATACGGAGCATTTTTTAAGAAATTGCTTTCTATTTTATTTCATTTTTTCCAAACGTGACTTTGAAAAACACCAATTTTTTCCTTCGTCAGGAAGAAGAAAAAGTATTTCCTACACATTCGATGAAAGCATGACTTTTGAATTATATAGGTTGCTTGCTCTTTAGTTTTATTGACGTTCAAAATATGTTCCAATTCGAATACTGAATATCTTGTACAGTCGTTTGAAGAAAATCGTTTTGAAAGAGTTTAAAATCAAATAGATTCTGGGAAGTTGTTCCGTATCGATATGTTTTCGATATTGCAACCTTTTACCACAGCAGAATAGTCTCTTCATAGGTACTAAAAATATTACACAATGACGTTGAATATTTTCTTCATAGAAGAGATTCAATCTCCGCTTTTCAATTCAAGGACTAGTGAACTTCGGCCATTTCACACGTAAGTCATTTCGATGTTACAATTGTCTGCGTCCCTGTGATCACCTTTCTTCCGTATGTGTTCTACAATATTAATGTTTTTGCAAAGGTAATGTACACAATATTGGCTATAGTAATATCACCCAACGTTAAATTGCGCACCCGAACTTAAGTGAAAGTGCAAATGCGTCGATGAATGGAAGGAACGACTAGTGGTCGAGATGTGCGTCGCTAAAACAGAATTTGTGCTCAGCTAACTTGCGAACGTGGAATGTCCCGAGTGTGCGTTTATTTTTATTAGTGGATTGATTTCGAACACTACCCCTTTTGCCCTGGTATTTGTTGTTTTACCTTTTAACAAATCATAACGACTTCTCTTTTAAATAAATAGTCTCTCTCCAATCTATCGAAAGATTGCAGTAAGTCAGTGGTATCTGTGTCTCCAGATTTTTTGAGTGGTCAAATCGAAACATTCTTCTTTCTTCTCTCAACACAGATAATTTACTCATGTATAATAGTGATTTACGTATAATCGTGAAAATCCAGAAACATACACTAGATACGTATAATCCTGAAATAATTCTGTAATTTCTTATAGTTTTGTGCCCGTGCCTTGAGCCCATTGAAGCAGTGTGGTCTTCAATTTGAACGTGAAGGAAAACTGAAAAATTACTCATTCGAAATTCGCATTAACCAAGTGAGATACTGCCTAAAACGTATTATTTTAAATTTGGTATTCCCAAGAGTTTGTGTATCTCACCTAATTATAATTTGTTACCGACAAAAAGTAACTTTTGTAACAATTGGACGAAGTGGAAAGTAGAAAACTATCGAGGGATTGATTTGGAATTGCTACAATAGGAATTTTTTTGCCATATATGGCAGGGTTTTTGATCAGGGTTTCACTTCCCGTTCTAAAGGAACCTGTCACGGATTTTCTCTTCTTGAAGAAACCAGAATCTTCAGTCGGGATTCAAATCGCGTTACCGGAGCTTCGTGAAAGCCCTGGAGCGCTAATCGTTCTGGCTTGAGCGCGGCACCCCCTGCTTCTGCTTCCGCAATTCCGTTTTCTCTCTCCTGCTTTGCTCCGCCCGCCCGGTCGCTTGCGTCTTTCCTCATTTCCTCTCGCTCTGCCCCGCTCTACTTTCCTTCCCACGCGCCCCCCCTCCCACCTGTCACCCTGTCCTCGCGCCCTTGGACTCGATCCCAGGACGGTAGCCAGTGATGGACAGCTGCGCGCTGTGACGTCACGCAGGCCCGAAACGGGCCAAAATACGCGCTCTGGAGGATAACTAACCTCTATGAATAAAAACTTACAATGCACTACGTTTTGGAGATTGACATTGAAATAACCGGTCCTTTATGACGTGAAGTTTACGAGATTGAGATGTTCATTTCGGGTACGGCACCTGGCGTTATTTTTTTGTCTTCGACTTTCTTGTAATGCGTCATTTTTTCCATCATTTCTTAAACTAGGTCTTTATTTTCTCCGATGCTAAACATATTTTTCTGTACTGAATTTCCAGAAATGACGTTTGATCTTTTATTAGTTTTCGCGGCAATTTTGCCGCAAACCTAATTTTAACTAGTCGGCGGTTTTTAAAATGATTTTAAAAGGTAATAAAAAATCTGCAAAATCCAAACTACTTTTCTAATGAAACTAACCACCGGTAATTGCGTAAGAGCATAAAACCTTCAAATATAACCTTATAAAATCTTCTAACAATATAATTTATTGAGTTTACAAGTTATTCGTACATTGGTAACAAAGAAAAAAACCATTGCAGGTATTCATAAGGATGGAAAAGTCATTGAAAGGAAGTATACGCATTTTCTTGTTTTATTCTCATGTGGATGGGTTGTAATAACTTTATTTTCATTTTCATTTATTTATCTGCGAAAGTTCGCCCTGCGCGTTGTTTGTGCCCACTGTGCTTGCACTCGGAGTGATGTCCGGACGAGACTCGCGGCTTGGCTGCTTCGCTATGGAACCGCTGGGGCAGACTTGGCAGTATGGTCGGAATGCTGTTCAGGCGCTGTTCTTAATGATTGGCATAGTCGTTCGCGTGCGTTACACGTGCCCAGTCTTCTTGATGAAAGTGCCTCGTTACCCTTTCGTCACGCCGTGTGAGGTACTGAATCTAAAATAGCGTTAATGTTGCAGACCAATAGGAAACGAAACTTCTCCAGAGAACTTGAAAACTAAAATAAGCAATGAATACTTACCACACAGTGTATTATAAAAAGTATTTTCCTCTTAAATTAGCAATAAACATTTACTTTTTTGACCCACAAAACAGTTCGTTAAATTACAAGAATCTGTGCAATTTCTGCTTATGATTTGAATCAAATGTCTTTTTATCTCAATGTTTCATTTAAGGAAAAATAAACCTTGCAGTAGTAGTAATACTACTATTCATATTGAAGCCACATTTTCGCGCGATTCTAACTAGGTGACGAGATCGTATCTATTGTGTCTATATTATCAACAACAAAATACCTCAAACAGAATCAAGTCACAATTCGCCAAAGATGTACTATTCGGACCCCCCCCCTTAAAACACACAATAAGAAACTCCTAAGTTCCAAAGAATACACCTGTTCCATTTTCCGTTAGTTTACATCAACACTAATCTAATTAAATGGAAAATGTATATGCAATTCTTTCCGATGAAGACAATAAAAATCAGTTTTAGGGAGTTTCTACACCATAAATGTATTTATGTTTCTCAATTCTGCAAAACCTTTTGGCCTGCCAAAAATTAAATTTTTGTCCCTTCAAAAATTAAATTTTTGTCCCTTCAAAAATTAAATTTTTGTCCCTTCAAAAATTAATTTAACCTTCGAGCAGTTGCACCTACATTTGAGACACGATGACTCGAGCGTTGTATTTTATACAACATCCAGAATTTTTGGAATTTCTATTTTTAATAAATATTTGTTCTTTCTAATAACATATATTTGAGTGTTTACATTACTTCGAATAACAATGAGAGAACACTAACAATGAAAATATTTTCTAGTTTCCAAATGTATCTTTAAGGAACAGAATTCATTAAAAAAATAAATCAATGTCTTCGTAATTATTGTAGTGGTAGTAAGACGCTGAAAAAATCAATTTTTGCAAGTTCAAAAAAATGCCGGGTTTTTAACGAAAATGAAACCTACAAAATTCTCTTCAATGTCCTAAACACCATATAACAAACAAAAATAAGCACAAACGATAGGGCCTTTTTTTTAACTTTTGAAAGTGTCCCAAGAGTTTCATGTAAAGTACCTTCCCAAAATTAAAATATCGGTTTCACATTCAAGAGATGTCGACATCATCTAGATCAATTGTGGAATAACAATTTTAGAGAAAATCGGCTGAACGGTTTAGCCGATAGCATTGTTCACTGACTAACAGATGTTTTGCCGACATACGATTTTTCGGTGTCAAGGACTCGCACATCATGCATTTTGGCTACACATTTAGAAGATTTTTTTACTAAATTCAACAACTGGATGTATTCACTTTTTCGTTATTTTTTCATATTTAAAGGTCCTGTTGGAAAAATTAAGACCAGAACTCGCGCGTTGTAAAGTGTACAACACACACCTTTACTCTCACATTTCTCTCTTAGAACACAACAAAGGTTAAGGTAATATGTTTCTGCTATAGCAATGAAGAAGTGTGAATAAATGAAAACCTAGTAGGAATTCGCTATTAAAGTGTAACATTTCATGTAAATATGAAAAATGTTCCGATGTACCTTTTACAACAACGCAAGAGCTCGAAAGTTAAAAAAACTGTCATTCATTTACTGGATGCAGGATCTAAACCCAGGCAAGAGCTCAGTTGACTGCTGTACTTCGTCAGTTTGGCTGCTGCAGCTCGCGCCGGGAAGCGGCGAATGTAGCGCTGCCGCGGTTTGACCCCGCGAGAGCGCGTTCCTGATGGAGCTGGCGCCCCAAGGAGCTTTTCCGTCAGTTGCCGAATCTCGGCACTGACCCTCGGGTGACCCCCGGCGGCTCGCCTTTTTGTTCGTGACCCGACCCTGTGGACTGCGACTGACATTGCGCTGCTATCTACGTGGGTCGCAATCCAGGCGATGGAACGGACCTGGTCACGAAAATCTCTCTTCTTGGTGCGACAGTCCGTGGTCGGTAGTTTTATTCGTGATGACTGATGCTACTTTTTATATTAGTATTGCGAAATGTAGATGTGCAATCCAAGATTTTCATTGTGTAAAATTATGACGATCATGGTCGTGATTTGAGAAGTAGGAAATATCGTTGAGCATGACGTTTTAAGGGTAGTTAATCTGTTTATTACAGATAGCTGAAGAGGAACACTTACACATGGGCAGGCTCGTTTCGAATGTCAATACGAAAACTTGGGAAATGAAAAAAATATGATTGAATTTACAATAAAGTCAAATAAAAAGTCTTAATAATTTTCACTTTGCAAAAATTCCTGCTACGCGGCACTTTGTGTCTTATTTTTGTACTAGAGAAAACTACTAGAGGAATAATCAGAAAAAAAGAATTAAATTAGACTGCTTGTTAAACATCACGATCATTATTCAGATTTTCGTATCGGGAAACGTAAGTGATGTCTCTTCCCGATGCGAGGTGAGCTAGTTGTCGAGCCATGTGGCAGACCCGGGGAGGCAAACTCGCTCGTCGTGTTGTAGCCGGCGGGGTGGGGTGGGGTGGGTAAATTGAGGTGGAGGCGGCGCCCAGGAGGCACGCGCTGCCAGGCGTAATTAGCCCCCGATGAAAAATAAACGGATAGGGGTTGCACGGCGGGCGGCCAACGGGAGAGCGGAAATTAAATGTCTTGGTTAAGCCTTGGCACGCGCTCTCTCGATCTCCCTCTCCCTCCCCATTCCTCTTCCCTCTCCCTCCCCATTCCTCTTCCCTCTCCCTCCCCATTCCTCTTCCCTCTCCCTCCCCATTCCTCTTCCCTCACAAACGCCGCCACTACCGCCACCGCGACGCACTACTCTACACTACACTACACTACACTACACTACACTAGCAGACATGTCGGGAGATTACAGCGTGTCCCGTGTGAGGTGCTACTCCAATGAGGGAGATGCCTATGAGGAGAAACCCCCAACCGACATCAGTCGACGTCGGATCTCACGTTCTACGGGAAGGATCACCGTCTCATCCTGGTTATAAGACATGCGTCACACTTCCGGGGCTAACCAAAAGAAAGGGTGATGTGCCCGGAAAAAACAAAATACTCATTCTCTCTGGCACTAGTTCCCACCCTCTTTATATCGCTCTCGCCCTAGCGTGCGACTATTGTCGCCGGTGTCTCTGCTGCTGTCTCTCTCCTCCTGGGCCTCGCGAACGGCACGATCAGGGAATGGAGTATCAGAGCAGCGAGGCTTTAAAGTGGCGGAATCTAAAGAACAGTGTATTGGCCAAGCAAGGCAATGTTATGAAGGAATCTGCTCGATGAAATGAATTGAAAATGGGCGCATGAATAGAAGACGTTGTAGCACAAGTTCTTTCTTACAATGGTAACATATGGCTGTTTAAATGAGCATTACAACAGCATATATATATTGCGATTCTGACAGAACTGTAAGTATGCTGTTGTAAATCCTTCTCTCTTACGAATATTTCTCGATTGTTGCTTCTTGCGTCTCGTAAACAAGTACACATTACTTTCTCTAAAGTGCTGGAAACAAGAAATGCTATTGTAAGATCCGCCGTTACACAGGGAAATTGGAGATGTAGAAGAAATACGGAAATATTTAACGGACGGTCAAGCAAGAACCCGGGACATTTTCCACTTGAATCGTGGCATGTGTCGGCACTTTGTGGGTACATTGTGCCCTCATTCGCTGCACAGTTTCGTTGCAGTTAAAATCATTCGTCAAGAGAGTAGTTTTTATTGCATGAATGATGTTATGAAAACGCAACTAGTAAATACAGGGTTCCATGTACATTCAGCCTCGAGAGAAAAAATCCAGACAGAGAATTGTACTGAACCAGATAATGAGTTCATCGAACTATCATTGAATGAATCTGCTCTCTGAATATTCATTTAAATGGATATAAGTTCTCCTTCGATGCGAGATTCTGTATGATGATGATGATGATGATGATGATGATGATCCGAATAGTTACTTGCTAAAGCGGAATCGTTCCTTCAGTGCCTTTTAAAGCCCTTCCCTACCCGTAGACGTATGCGAAGTTGCTCTGTTTTTGACAGCTTACTGTTGCCAAATCAGGTGTCTGATTTCCAAACTCCCCGCTGAGAGTTTGCAAGAAGATGATGTCGGTAGAACTTCAGAGGACTCGTATTTCTTGTATCGTAAAAAGTGTAATGCAACGACATTTATTTGTGATTTAAAAGAGAAGAAAAACAACTTAGTGCATCAAAATTTGACTTGAAATCGTGCTCATTCTTCAGGGGAATTACGGAAATATCAGTAGAGGTGACTCATCCCAACAATCTGTGACCGATCGACTCGACTCTCACGAACGGTGTTTTCGGGAGGGGGGATAACATGAAAGTAAGAAGATATTTCCTGGGTTAATTTATGTAATGTGTATTCAACATTAGCGTTACATATTGCATTCGCTCCGTCCTAATAAAATTAGTGTTCCTTTTCTCTACTGCTCACACGAACGTAGCGCCAGCGATAAAATCTGAATGCACTACTTTACTTTTTTGCAACCTCATTTCCCTATTTGACTCTCTAATTGAAATATTTGCATGAACATCATTCCTAAATGTGAGTGCATTGGGATCTTCCCTACCTAACGACATCTGATAGAATGTAAGACTTATCAAGCTTTTTTTTTATAAACTTCATTCAAATTGCTTAATAATATTCCAAAACAATATAACAAGTTTCCAAAGTATTGTTAAATTACATTTGTTGCATTACGTAGGGGAGAATATATTGATGATAGGTTTTTTTGTCTCCCTCCCACTTCCCGAAAGAGAGAGCATGCCATGTAGCTAGTGCATGCAGTAGCAGGGACGCTGGCGAGTGGCCGCGACTGGAACTGCAATGCGTTTTTTCCCGGGTCGTGTGTGCTGGTGTTCCAGAACAGCGAGAGGAAGCACCGGACGGCGGTGTTCGTGCTGGTCGTCACCGAGGAGCTGCCTGAGTGGGAGGATTCCAAGACCATGGGTGAGTGCCTCCCGCCGCTCCCTTCCTCCTCATCTTGCTCTTCCTCCCCTCCCCAGCCTCATTACTCTTTTATTCTTCATTCTCCATTCTTATTTCCACTTTTTTCTTCCATCCTTTTTGTCTTTTATACTTTCCACCCCACTACTATTCTCTGCTTTCTTTCTTTCTTTCTTTCTTTCTTTCTTTCTTTCTTTCTTTCTATCTTTCTATCTTTCTTTCTTTCTATCTTTCTTTCTTTCTATCTTTCTTTCTTTCTTTCTATTTTCTTTCTTTCTTTCTATCTTTCTTTCTTTCTTTCTATCTTTCTTTCTATCTTTCTTTCTATCTTTCTTTCTTTCTTTCTATCTTTCTTTCTTTCTATCTTTCTTTCTTTCTATCTTTCTTTCTTTCTTTCTTTCTATCTTTCTTTCTTTCTATCTATCTTTCTTTCGTTCTTTCTTTCTTTCTTTCTTTCTTTCTTTCTTTCTTTCTTTTTGATTCTGTGTGTGTGTGTGTGTGTGTGTGTGTGTGTCTTTCTTTTTGTTTCTCACTTACATTTTATCTCATTTTGTGAAAATGTGTATTTTGTGTCCTTCATTAAACTTCTTACGAAAAATTATCCCTTTTAAAATTTATTAATTAATTCAAGTGAAGAAGTTTTAAAATGTTACTTAGAAAGCAATTTCTTTTTTAAGAATATTTTTCATGTTTTTATTGAAAGAAAATGCAGATAATTTTTCTTAATTCTTTAAATGGCTAGTACTAAGTTCATTTCAAGGAATGAATGTTCCAGTTAAAAATGCTGTGCCACGAATTGACCCAGAGACAATACAAATGGAATGTCAAAGAAAAACCTATTTACAAAATTTTCGAAAAATGTACATGACTGTTTTAAAATCTGTCTTTAAGGAACAAATTTCATTAAGAAGAAAAATCTTTTATCTTCATAATTATTCTTGTAGGAAGACTCCGAATAAATTTTGAATTTTTGCGATCTTCGAAAAATCAGAGTTTTCAATGAAAATGGGACCAGCACCAGTCTCGTAATCTCTTCACTCTATCCAACAATAAAAATTTAAACAAAAACGATGGAGCCATTTTTTGAAAATGTTGAAAATTTCCCAGGGGGCTTTGTGTAAAGTACCCCCAAATTAAAATATTAGCTGAGCGATTTAGCCGCTAGCTTTGGACGGACGGTCGTTTTGCCGCCATTCATTTTTTCGGTATCAAGGACCTACAAAAAATGGATTCTGGCTACACCTCGTGTTAGATAATTTTTTTCTACATGTAGCAACTGGATTTATCCACTTTTTGTTATCAGGGCCCTGTAATAAGAGTTTTTCTGCCGAAAATTCGCCGGTTTTTTCGTACATAACTTTCTCTCTACTGCTGAAGCCATAGCGAGAAAGTTAAATAACCCCAAGAAAAGGGGATGTGGAAAATTACTGTTTTGTCCAAAACATAAAAAAAGTCAATGTGTAAAAGATTAAAATTCATATTTTAGATTCATTTATTCATATATTTGGAGGCAGATAAAGATTTATGAATAGGCTAACCTAGGCATGTGTCTAGGGTAGCTAGATTTCAAAAGGCAGCAAAATGTTGGTGCAATTTATTTTTAGATAATGGCGTTTATTCAATTTTAATTAAATTTGAAAATGTAGTATTTTCATATACATTTTTATGCTTTTTTTAAATGTGTTGTTAAAGCTTTGGGAAAGTATTTGCTGCAGGATTTGCTCCAGTTTCCTCGAAGAACTGACATGTACACATTATTTTCAAATTGTTTGGCTGAAAGATCTTTTTTGGTTTTGAAGGGTGTCGAAAACTACGTAACATCAACACCGGTTGAAACTAGTTTAAACTTGCTTTCCATTTTAGCATAGAAAAGATATTTTACATAAAATAGATTGTAATATTATCAACAAATTTGCGACCCCCTCAATGATGAAAGCAATTGTAATGTGACTTTATAAAACATTATTAATGTATGATTAAAAAGGTTTTGAAATAAGTTACAATTGAATTTATTTGTAATTATAATTATATATTTCCTGCCGTGCAACATTAATGTAAAAATTCATTGAATTAACCAAGGGAGGGGTGGGGGACCAGTAATTATTTGCTTACAACAGTAACAATTGCAACAATAACAACAATGCAAAGGTGGAAGACGTTAGAATAAAGGCGCACTGAATGCAATTCGGATCATTATTTGCTGAGATAAAAATTATATCAATTTTTTGTGAAATAACCCCAACAAAGTTATAATGAGGATGCAGCCAAAGTGCATACAAATCCCAAAATATGAATTTCTCCTGACAGATCCAACAATAAATTTCCTACCCAAACTCACTTGGACACCTAATGGTGCAAAGTGCTCACAGTACTTCTACAACAGCCCAAGAGGTCACTTACTGTTGGTAACAGCATTTATTAGAGGAGCAGAATACGAGTCTCATAAAAGAATGTGAAATTGGAAGTAATCAGAATGCTATTAATTCATTTAATTTTAATAAATTTTCACCTTATTGAAATGGCTTAGTACACTTCATACTTTGTTGTTTTGGCAAATTAAATAATAAATTTCTTGGCATTTCATTTCAGTTGAATAAATTAAATCTCTTTGAAAGTTTGTTTATTAGTTACTCATATACGTATGTGTAATTTGTAGGCCGCAAGCGTAAGTGGTTCACCGTAGAAGATGCCCTTGAGCAGCTCTCCATGCACAAACCAGTGCAGCTCTCATACCTGCAGTCACTGCTTACCTGTCGAAACGATAAGGTATGGGTTGTGCTTGCTCACATTATGTGCAAGTGGAATGTAGTCAAGTTACAGGTCTAGATGGGACTCTAATTCGACAGCAGCTCAATTTACTGACAATGATATACTTAGTTTAAAAGAAAAATGGTTACTGATTTGTTAGTCACTTTTGTTTTCAAAAAATTGTATTTATTTTAAATATAATTCATATAATTTTGACAGCATTAATTTTTGTTGATGTGGGGGGAGGGGGACTTGGATATACTTATGAAGTGATTTTCATTTGAACTTAATGATGAATAATAAGTGATTTGCATTCCAGTTGAATAATGAATATTTTTATGCCAGCTTTTTTTAAAAGTGAATTGAATTGTGTATTAGGATAGTATAAAACAATTAATTTTTTTTTTTAGTATATTCAACTTTCTTTTAATTACTTTTTGAACTCCAAAAGTTAATAGTATTCACTGCATATTTTGTAATTCTTACAAAATTTCTCAAAAAAATCTAGTTCCAGTTCTAAATCCAGAAATTCCAAATGTGTGCCTAGCAAAACTACTAGTTAAAAGCTGCTCGGGTACCAGTTAAAGAGTTTTCTGAATTTCTGGTTACAAAATCCAATTAAAGTAATCTAAATCTAGTACATGAATAATGGGAATTCTGTAGTACAGAATAGATGGCATGCAGCAAGAGTTCATATTTGGATGGATGTAATATGCAAGTCCTGTTCTTTTGACACTCATAATTTGATTATACTCTGGGACACTTAGCAACACTTTTTATAAATCATTTATTGAAATACCCTACTTAATATACACTTCATAAATTCCAATAATCAATTTGATAATGTTGCTTTTGTATGTTTGAAAGTTTTTTAATATTTATTAGTTAAAATGATATTTTGCTCAAAGAACTAATTTAGCATTCTTGAGTTCACTGTGCCGCTACTCAGTTTGTAGTTACTTTCTTTCTGAATATACCATTTTCATCGGTGTGTTTTTAATTCTTTCTCAGAATATGTCTACGGCTTAGATTGCATTTGTTGTATGTCTAAAATTTCTACTTTCGAGAAAACTAAGCATAAAAGTTTGTAAAGATGCAGTAATTCATCAAGCAACAATGTATGCTTTTCGGGAAAGTGCAATCCCTCTTATAAAAATGTACAATCTTCATACCCTAGGTAGTTAAGAATGAGAGGTCTCCAAAACTGACATTTCTATTTTAATGTTATAAAATGATCACTTGGAAAGTACTTGAACCAAAATTTAATGTTAGGCTTTGAAATATTTAATATTCATGTGTTTTTCTTTATTTTACAGGCTTCGTGTCAAAGTCCTCTTCAAAACGGAAAGAACGGAGGCAGCCCTTCATAGCAGAATACTTCATTTGGATCAACTACTCTTTTTCAATTATGCCCAATGGCATTTTCAGCGTAAATGCAACTCACCTGGCCATCGATCTTCAAAGGTTGTGCAACAAAGCTCATTTGACAATGATGCTACTGCTGATGCTGGAAATATGATATTCAATTTAAAAACAAAAATAATTTGCCGCATAATATGACAAATGTTCATTTAACCTTAAGTTTATATCTCATCTTCAATTTTATGACCATTTTCAAAAAAATTGTTTCATTTAAGTAAAAATTTGTACATTTAGATAATATTCTTCAAAGTTTGATGATTAATTTGATACTGTTTGTTGGGTATTTTTCTTTAGTTTTTGAAGTGTTATTGGCAATAGGACATTGTTAGAGATGTATACCTTGATAGTGAAGCGATCTTTGGCTGTTGTTGGCTCGTGCAGAATTGAACTGAGTACTCTTTTTAATTTCCTTTTGTTTGTACTTGAAAACTTGTGAAAAGCGGACAGTGTTTTTCTGACTTATTCATTAGTTGATAAGAGTAATTAAAAAAATATTCACACTAACTTGAATATTGTGTTGTGTAGGGAGAAAAATTACATCAGAGAGAATTCTTGGACTGATTGAATTAATTTATATATTAGATTTGTTTTTATATCACTTTTTGATCAACTGTATCAACTACTGGCAGTGCCATATTCATTTCACCTCAGTTTTTAAAGATACGTCTTGTCATCCATGGTTGAGGTATGCCTGGATTTGCTTGGATGAGAAATATTTGAATTGCATGCATGTGCTTGTAAGAATGTGTTGATGTTCAAATTTGAACTTTTCATTGTAACAACCTTGTTGCAAACCCTGTATCAACTACCCCAGTCCTGTACCATTGCTACCAAAATAACCTTATCCATGGTAGATGCTTTTAGCTTACATGAATAGCTTGTGGTAAGGTGAATATTAACAACCTGTTGAAAGTTCTGGTCTGGGTTTTGTTTTTTTATTGAACATATCAACAACATAAACAGTTAATTAAAGTTAGTTTTTTGTTGTTGTTGGGCTTAAGGGCGTTATTATAAATCATTATGCAGTTGTAAGTTTTGATTCAATGCTGTAAACACACTGTATTTTCAGTTGAACTTTTAAAGTGTGTATAGTTGCCCATAAATAACTACAACTTTGTATTACCCTTTTTATGTTTGGTCTACAATCATGGTTGTTTCAGTGAGTGTTGATAAATATTGTATAATCTTCATAAGAGATGGGCAAAGCAGATTCAAACTGTATGCAATTCTTTATGATGCTTGTATTTTTAAAATAAAGTATGATAAAACTTAGTCATGATTTGTACTTATTTGCTTTTGATACGATTTCATTTCACCAATATTGGGCAAAGCAATTTATGAAGACATCTAAATGCTTAGCTCATACCATACTCTGTACTGTTTTTCATCAGAAAGCAAAAGCTTTTTCATTATGTAGACATTAATACATTTCTGATATCAAAGATAATTATTATTTTCTACTACAATACATTTTTGGTATCTAAAGTAATTTATAAAAGGCAGTATTTTTTTGGTGTGGGTAGCAAACTTTTTGTTTAAATGTGTAATATTACCATGCTAATGAACTAGTTTTCTATCTTTGAAACTATTATTTCAAAACCACCACTAAACCTTTACTGCCAAATTGTTTTGTGAATTTTTTACTTTGGAGAATTCAATAAAATTTCATGAGGTTTTTGCCCGAAAATAATGAAATGTTATAGTTTTAAATAAATTCAACAGTATATTTAAATTAGCTTATTTTAAAGCACTGTCTCAACTGTCCATAAACTATATTTAAATGTTTATGTCCTTTTGACTAACTGATTTTAAAGATTTCCTGGTAATATTTTTATAATTTTTAGAAGATCATCAAATTTCAAAATGATGCATTCACCATAAAAATAATTTCTTCATTCGGTAAGCTATTTTTGGAAAGTTCTTGTTTTAATTTCATTTCTGTGTCCCAAACATGATTGTTTTCATGATCTTGTAACTGTAAAGCAAAAAAACATTTGGATTTCTAAGAATCAAATTTTTAAATTAATATTTTTATGAAATTAACTTTTAACAATGACAAATGTAATTTGTGTGCTTTTTTATTTATCAAAATGTTTTCATATAAAAGCAAAAATGGGTTTGATCTTTGCAGAAAAGAACTAGTCATAGCTAATCAGGAAAGGGCAACTTAAAACATATCCAAACATTGTAATTTGTGGTTGATGTTGAAATCTTGACTGCATTGAAAAGTATAAATTCCCTTTTCTAATTGAGATAATTTAAAGCTAACTATGCTGACAGAACAAATTTTACAAGTTACAAAGAAATTTTCAAGACTTTTAATTAAATTACAACTTGTTGACAGATGGTTATCATAAACTACAGAGAATAAATGTATTGAAATTACGTAAAATATCATATATCATTTATAAAATATTCTCTAGCAAATATGAATTGTGCAGTTAGCTTCAGAAGGAACAGAAACTTAAGAAAAGAGTTGTCTTTATGAGATCTGAATTGACCAAGCCAGAATTCTTCACAGTAAAGATTACAGTGGTTTGTCACGAATATTCCCATGTATTTTATTAGAATGTATAGGTTGTGGTGTAATTGTAAAGGTTTGTATATAAACATCTAAGATGGATTTTAGTCATGACCAAAGGATTTCAAACAAAAAAACAAACGTATTAATCATTGGGAAGTAAGAAAGAAAGAAACAAAGGTGCTGAAATAACCTGTCTGGTAAGTGAAGGATACAAGAGAATAAAAGATAATCCATACAGATATTCGCCATTATACATTTTGGAATATATAATTAATTATTAATTATTTTAACACTAATTAGATTGTTAGATGTGTTTTATTAAAAGTAATTTATATCAGGACTCAAGAAGTTAAACAAGTAGGCAAATTATTTAGTTAACCTGGTTACTAAATGGCAAGTCGGTCACAATGCACAATCTTTTAACTACAAGCAAGCGTAATGTCTTAGCCTAAGTCTTGCCATTAACAAAAACATCTTTTTTATGGATATTAATATTCTTGATAATGATAAAAAAAATTCTTATAAAGTGATATAAATAAAATTTCAATTAAGTATAATAGTAATAAATGTGTAATTGAATACAAATATTATTTCAGCCAGTCTTACTTAAATATTCTTTAAAAATATTAAACCTTATTAAAATGTTATAAAAAAAGGGTAAGAAATATTAACAGTCTTGTAAGCACATGAACATTTGACATAAGTCTGTATTAATGATCATAATTTAAAATAATAAGTGAACAAACATAATATGTTTAATAGAAATCTGTGGGCATGGGCATAGATAGGTAGAATAGATAGTCAGAATAGCTAGGTATAGTTAAGAACTTGAGAACTCTCGCTCCATGACCACTGTCTTATCTGGTATACAAAATTCTAAATAAGAGTATGTCTATGATGTTTCTTTGAATATTTTAATGAATTAGACATCTAAAATGTACATTATCAACATAAATATTATTTAAATTTTAAAAAGTTTTATTTAAATTTGATTTTTTATTTTTATTTTTATTTTTTTTTAAGATTTTTTTCCCATCCTATTTGTAACTCTCTCAAAAGCAACAAACTCATCATAGTTTTTTCAGGCTGTCAGATAAGACAGATTTGTAGCCACTTCCTCATAAATGCAACAAGTGAAAATAAATTATTGCACAGTAAAAACAATTTGCATTTATTTTATTTGTATTGTATATTAAAATTTAAGGTAATTAAATTTGGTATTAGTTGGGAATGCTGACTGCACCTAACAATAAGATGGGAACAAGTTATGAGTGATGTAACGATGCATAAGTGAGAAACATATTGATCGCAAGCCGTGCACATGTTGTTGTTGATGTCCCATGGGTGAGAATCAACTGTGTCAATTTAAATGGATTCTAGAATATACTGCATATCAATTTTAAACATTTTCTTCATAATCTTACAGATTCATTAAAAAATTGAACCAAAAATTTTTCCATTTATTATAACAATTCACATCTAAAAACTTTAATTTATTAATGTTTTTAAAATTAATTAGTAAATGTTTTAGTACAAGAATAAAAAAATTAACTATGTTAGCAAATGTTGAAAAATGTAAAAAATAAATATCAATAAACTAATACCTCCAACCCTATGTAATGCAGCATAATGCTGTCTCAAATCCCCCCCCCCCTTTAGCGCTTTTTAATTTATTAACGAATACTTATCCCTATTCTTTACTAACCACCTAACTGCACAAATCATGAAGCATTGAAGCGGAGCATATTAATTTAATTCAGGTTAGTATGCTAGTTAATGCAGTACATAAAATTGGCTAGCTCATCAATACATTTACACATCATTGCACACATCCACACATTAAACTACAAACAATCCAAAAAATTATATTTCTACTATGTCAGAGGCTCATGCAACTATTAGTTAGTTGAATTTGGAACATTACTTTATTATGAAACCAGGTCTGTAGGCTGTTTGGACAAAACAAAGGAGACTTATTGGAGCAGTTTCAGAAAGTCCTCCACTCTTGCCTAAATGTTGTATGTCTATTATATTATACTATTTTGTTATTATTGCTGGGAGAAAGTCATCAAACCTAAGTAAACTAAGCTTATGTGAGGTTTTGAAATTAGGACAGTTAATATAAGTAATGTTTGGCTTTTATGTAGGAACAAATATAACAATATTCAAAGAACAATTTAATATCTACTGAAAACTATTTAAATGCACCAAAAAAATTATAGCTAACTACTACTGCTACTACTACTACTAGAGGTCTACAATCTTTGAAAGTGATAACAAACACAAAAAAATGTAAAACATGGTAAACTAATAGAATACACTTCATTAAACAAAAATAATTCTGTATAACAAAATGGAGTTCTTGTAAATTCTATTGACACAAGCAAAATTATCAAAAATTTAATTTCTATAATCAGAAGAATGAAAAATTAAAACAATTCATCTGGTATGTTTGAAGTATCATCCATTATGAAAAAAATACAAAATAGCTTTAAATTCCATAAGCCATTATCTAATAAAATACTCAAGAAAAAATTAAACTGTTTGAAAACTGTTCGGACTGTTCATGTAATTTCAATACATAAGAAACTAATGGAAAGAAATAATCAACCTGTCGAACTTCAAACACTAAGTTCTAACTTACCTTCAACAGATTTTGAAAAGCATCAATCTGTACTATTGGTGCAAATTTGTAGTGCGTCTACCAGTGCCAATATATTTTACAGCCAATATGTTGTTCAGCATTTTATATAAACATTTTAGAAGATTTTTACATGACATGAAATAAAAATTTTTTTCACCCTTAATTTTTTGTGATCAACAGTTTTTAGTATCAATAAATTATTGGTGTGTTTCAATGTTAAGCAGAAATAAGTAATGACTTAATTCAAAACTATTAGGAAATTTAAAAACATAAACATGTTTAAAAGTGAGTGTTATTTTTAGAACATATTGCTCAAAGTGTTGAACTTAAACATTGAAACATTTTCAATATGGTGTGAATTATAATCCCAAAATGATCTGCAATTTTTTAACAGTGTGTCTAAACAATAATTAAACCAATTTCTTTGTAAAATTACCACTTTTTTCCGTATATTTAATTAGTGTTGTAACAAAACAACATTATAAGAATTATTCCGAATATATTTGACATCAAGATGTGTGTGTATATACATAATATACATCCCTCTGACTGAAAACTTTATTCATCATATATTTCCTCACTTCATAACGCCCATTTCCCATCTGGTTGTTGGTATATATAATATATAATAAAGTTTTCAGTCAGAGGGGTACGACTCAGTGAGGAATTTGGATGTGAGAGAGGTAAAGTGACTGCATATTCAATTGAGGACAATATTAAGGAAAAGAAAATGAACTGGAATATTTGAGAGAAATGATGGACTTTTTACACAAAATAGATGCCTTATAACATGTTACAAAATGAATAATGTAATATATTATGGATCATTATGCATATAATTTGAGATAATACGAGTTAACTAGTAAGTAATTTTAATTCAGAGCTCCTTTATTTAAGTTTCTACAAATAAGAACTGCGTATATTATTGAAATGTAATTATAACAATAGGATGGCTTATGGGCAGCTTACTAGCTTCCCATGGTGGAGTCCTTGATTCTCAGTCAAGGCAAAAATATACTTGTAGCTTTCCTTTAAAATCATCTTAGTTTCTCTAGCTGTGTGATAAAAGAAAGCTCAGGTAGATGAGTGTACTAGT